ACAGCTGCATCTACTTAACATTACTTACCACAGACTTTTTTGTCCTTTYTTTCCCAAACACAGCTAGGTACTTGATTGCAACATTAAATTCTGAACTCATCACAGTGTAAAAGTGACTTAAGCTATGACTGTGATGTTCATGGCTGCAGTGTGCCCCTTACTAGAGATGCTACACATCAGACATTTCCACTGATTTGAGTGACATGTCAGTGGGATTTAAGTTATCAGGAATTCTCTTAAGAATGTCTGGATAGCTCAAATGTGAAGGAAGCTAGGATGACAATGCAGCTTCCTTAAAACTAACAGAGTCACTGCTGTTTTGCTGATATGCATATGAACCTACTTATATGAACACAAAGAAACCCTCATGCCTCAAACATGAAAATGTTTATTTCAGTCAGTAACAGCCTGTTTTCAGCAGTGCAAAGCAGGGTTTTCTACAAAATCTCGTAGATTTCTTCTAGAGAATGCAGATGGATATACAGGAGAACAGGACAGAACTGGCACTTTTTTGAAATGTCACTGCCTTCACTTTTTTTATGCAGCAGCCAACCTTAAATAGTTGCTTAAAAACCTTTTAAAGTCATTCTATCACACAAGTGCAAGTCTGAGCAATCACAAAGACTTGAATACTATCTTGTTTAATATAAAAGGACTTCCCTTTGGATAATCCACAGCACAAGGAAAAGGCAAATAAACAGACAACAAAATGAGAAATATTAAGTGACTAGAGCGACTAGACACAAGTGAGTGCAAATAACAAAGCTCCCCATGAATATGAACTGTACATTGTAAATGTTTTGTGTATGTTAAAAAGAAAGAACAGTAATGCGCTAATAAAATCATATTTTTCTTCCTTCCTAAAAAGGTTACTGTTAATGGTGCAGCCATGTGATTTTCAAAACTGCTGACCCAAAGCAGGAGAGAGGAGATGCAAAGTCACTTACTCAGACACTCGGAGTATCGTTTCTTTGCCTTCTTCCACTGAAATTTTGACATCATTCTTCACATGCTCCACTGTCAACAGAGCTCCTTTAAAAAAAAAGAAAAAAAAAAAGATACTGATTTTTCTTTCAAGAAACATGTACTTTATACTAGCAACAGAGCAGTCACATTTTTTAATCAAATAGGACAATGTGTCCTACCTGGCTCCTTCAAACAAGCTCCCCCAGAGAAGAAATCAATGTTCAATCTTATATGCAGAAGGTTTCTTATTCTTGGCAATCTTAAATTGACAATGCCTAACAATCTGCTTTGAATCTGCAAGTGTCAGCAACAATAGAAGAGTATTGCAAAATTAATCCTATCCCCCATGCAAAGAAATGATTTATTTGATACTCCTCACAGACCTGAAACATGCAGTTACTGAATTCCTTGGTATTTTCTGAACAAGGATGAGGCTACTTCTCAACCCGATTTTATGTTTATTAAAAAGAGTAGCCCCCCCACACCAAGAAACCCTCCCTATGACAAAGTACAGTGAGCTCACATAGGGTATTCAGAGTAGTATATCTTTGACAGTAAAGGGCAACCTCTAAAAATGGAAGAACTATTGAAACTCTTAGGCTACATCTACAGATAGAAAAAAGCTCTGCCCATATTTCAAGTGGCCTGATGCAAGCGTGCTCTGATCCCTGTGCTCTACTGCATGACACATTCGCTCAAGCAAAGCATCAAGCTAACTTGGCTGCATTATTTCTGGACTGGCTCTTATCCAAGCCCAGCCAGCTGAGCATAACCAGAGAAGCAGGGCATAAGAGCCCTGCTCAAGAGCACGTATAAAACCAACAAGCTTTTGCTTAGGCCTATATTACTTAAGTGAAACCAGCTAAAGGACTATACCCCAGATGGTGCCAGCAACTAACCTGTTATCGTTCCACGGAGCACCCTGCACTGTGACCAAATCTCCTTAAGAGCAACACACAGACTCAAGGCAGGTGATGCTATTAAGTTATTAATACCCTGGCCTAAATACAAAGCACTGGAGCTAGAAATTCCCTAGCTGGTCCCTCTCTTCAGCTACAAGCCCTTCTCACAACATTGCGCTTATGTCCACAGTAAATCGGCAGTCTCTTCCAGCCCTCAGTCATCTGTCAGAGTCAGGGTGACACCACTCCTGCTGTATGTTTGTGAGACACGCAAGTGTTTTAATTAAGGGCTGGAAATGCTTTGGGAGCAGCATGTAGCATGCACACCCGACTAGGTAATTAACACCAGGGACATTAATAGGTACCATGCGCTTCCCCGTGCGCAGCGGCGATGAACATATGGTGCAGGAATGAGCGTGCTGAGGCTGCCTGCACACAAGTGTTTGCAGAAGAGGCCTTTTGCAGTATCTAATATTACTGACAGAATTAAATACTCTTCTGCACCCTCTCTCTAGTCCTGCTAACCAAATGCCAAAAACAAAAATGAAAAAATAACAAAACAAACCAAACAAGAAATCCCAGAATGCTCCATAGCCCCTAGGCCCTTGTTAATCACAGTCCGTGCTGAATAACATGTCCTCTAATGAATCAGTAGAAACAAGCATGGGAAGAAAAGTCGTTTAAAACTTACACGCTGTTTTATTTTAAACCACTAGTCACGCAAGGCGTACTCGACTGCAAAAAAGCAACTACTGAGCTAAGGCGAAGGAGAAGAAAGCGTATTTCCAATGAAGAAACTGAGTGGAAGCAGCCCWGGCAGCACAAAATGCTGCTTCCAGACGACAGAAAGGCGCGGAAGCGGCGGGCGGCCGCCGGCCACGCTGCAAAGCGGCCCGGGCCGCCCCCGCTCGCCGCGCCGCGACGCGTCCCCGCCGCCCGCC